TGAGTTCAGAGTACCCAATAGTGCATATTTTGATGAGTACATGACAAGTTTGTTGGTCTGTATTTTTTGGGGGGAGCGGGGAAGCCAAGAAAACAGGCAAGATTCTCCAATTGCACAAATTGCACTATTTGTGTTTCCAACATTAATAGCAGAAACAGCTAACACAAACAAGATATGCAGCAGAGGATTTTTTTTTTCACTCAAAGGACCTGAATTCAGTGGGCATGTCCTTTTAAAGTTCATTTTGTTGTAGACAGTTTAAGATATGGTCATTTCTCAGTCCTTAATTCTCCAAGTCTAGATTTATAAATTAACAATATGAATCCTGTTGTGAAATTGGGGAAATGTCCACCTCAATTTAACTGATAACCAAAAGATGCTTTTCACATCAAAGAAATGATCAAAAAGGCTGTGTCACATTCCAAAGCCAAAAAAAATTAACAAGAATGCAAACACGATGAGTTATGTACCACTGCCAAGACTTTGCCAACAGTGGAGCTTCAGCGACGCTGTCCTGTAAAGCGGCCTTCCATTTGCCCGGCTCCTCTTCCAGAGCCTAGTTTCTGTGCCATGCCACCTCTTGGGGGAGGTCCTCTTCCATCACGATCACGCATCATTCCACCACCCACTATTCCACGTGGACCACCAGGACCGCGGTCATTACGCCTAATATCCCTGCGATCATCACCGCCACCTCTGGTCTCTCGTTCTCTTGCAGCTCTTGTTTTTTTCTCTTCCACATTTAAACGTACTTCTCCGCGAAACATGATTGGCTTTAAAAGAGGAGAAATACACTGACATGGGTGTCAAGTACATTGACAGCAATAAAAGGCTTTTAACTGGTACAGAAGAAAATCTTCTAAGAAATTAAAAGATTCTGATGGATGACTTTAATATAAAATCCTTCCAGCCTTTTTCAGCAGAGGAAATGAAATTTAAAATGATCCATACCATACTTTAATACTATCTTTATTCTTTGCATGAATACTATTTTTCAACTATTTTTACCTTTACTATTAAAAAAGATTTTTCTACGGTTTTGCAATGTATCAAGTAAATACTACATACAACAAAAACAGGAAGGTCTTGGAATTATGCCCTTTAAATCACTTACTTTTGCAATTAAGATTCTCTGAACTGGTTCAGAGTCATCAAAAACCACAAAACCAAAATTTGGAAGCTTTCCCCCAACACCCTTGGTATTGATGCGAAGTTCCACAACGTTTCCAAAACCTGTGAAAATATACATTACACCAAGGGTTAAATACTTTAATAGAATTCTAATGGCTTTAACTGTCATGTCTTTGATCTGTTTTAAAGTAAAAGTGGCAAGCTGCTATACCCAGTGTTAGTTAAGGTACAGATAGCCATCACCTAAGACACCAAACAGCTGAAGAGGCCATTTACTTTCTTATCTCTTTAATCCTGGTTATATGTTGTATTTACTGATGAGTCCTCCATTTCCAGAATTAGGACTGCTTCTTCACTCAGTCTTATCTTCTCATCTCCTGACCAGACCAAGTCAACACTAAGCAGTTACCCAGAAACGTGATTATCATTTATTCCCTCTGGACCAATTAAAGTTAGACTGGTAGTAGATACAATATATGAAGATAAAATAATTTGTATTATGAAAAAAAAGGTCTACAAAGTTCTTGTTTGATAAAGGGTAACTAGAATTCTAATTTAAAAATGTAATACAAGAGCTAAACAAACCACTTACTCATAAAGAATTCCTTCAGTTCATTTTCATCAATATCATGAGGCAAATTGCCAACAAAAAGTTGATGACTGTCAGGGTAGCGAATTATTCTACGGTTATCTGAGTCATTCTGTTCCATATCTCCTCTACCTGAAAAAACACAGTAGATACTGAAGTCTAGAATGGCATATCAACAGTTCAAAGAAACACACATTTAAAAGAATACTGATAATCCTTGTTTTATTTTAATAGAATCAGATGTACTTCTTAAAGAGTTAAAGTGTATGATCACTAGGGTTGTGAGAAAATAGCAAGACACTAAACAGTGAATGAGGGTACTGACTATATAGTCTTTTATACTTCTCACCTGCTCATAAAAACATACTAGGGCAGTTGCTTCTAACCAGCTACTGCCATTACCCAGGAACCAAGCAGACTTCAGACAGTACAGGTCTACTGAAGATTTGCTTAGTCTTTTGAAAGAAAATACCCAATCTTTATGTATTACAGCAAAATCAAACATTTTAGCAACACTAACATTTCCTTTGCACCAGTATTCTTAACCGCTGAGCCATCTCTCCAGCCCCCAACAGCTTTGTTTTTTGAGATAGGCGTCTCAGCCTAGGTTGACCTCAAACTTGTTACATAGGTTTGAGGCTGGCTTGAACTTATCTTCTTGCCTCCACTTCCCAAAGGCTGGGATTACAAGTTTATATGCCATCAGATCTGGCAAATTTTTTAATTACTAAAATATTACTTTATATTTTTAAAATAAAATCTACCCTAAGGTCTACTGAGCATCATTTTTAAAAAGTCTAAGGTCTTTATTGACTTCATGCAGGCCAGGGCTACAGAGTAAGACCCTGCCTCAAAAAGAAATTAACAACTGGACCTACAAGAAATATATAAAATACTTCATTTACTCACTAAAAAGACTATTGCCATAGAATTTTTTAAAAATATTTTTTGAAAGGGGAAGGGGGCTGGAGAGATGGTTCAGCTGTTAAAAGCACTGGCTGTTCTCTTGCAGAGGATTCCCAGCACCCACATGATGGCTAGCAACTTCAGCTCCAGGGGATCAGATGCCCTCTTCTGACCGTTGCAGGCATTGCACGACATGGGTACATTTACACACATGCAGGCAATACACTCATATACATAAAATAAAAAACAAAGTATTACCATATAATACAAGTGAAATTAAGTATTTGGTTGGTTTTTTTTTTTTTGAGACAAGTTCTGTGTAGCTTAAGTTGGTCTCAAACTTGTGATCTTCCTTGTCAGACTTCTGATCTAAAGAGTGCTTTAAAGTAGTTTCATTTTATTAGAGTGCTGTAATATTCTTTAACTTTATCAAACTGGATTGAGCAAAAGAGCTCTAAACAATGTTTGTTTCTTAAATGTATTGCATTTTATCAAATGTCATAAAAAGTAAGCAGTTGGTTTTAGAACTGTTTCTTAATTAGACTATACGGAATGCAACAGAATATTGGGAAACTGTAGCTTCAGATTAAATTAGGGACATAGATCAATGCTGCAGACATCAGTAGTTTATTGTTTTAGTCCAAACACATTCAAAATGGAAACTCAAAAGAATACTTTCCACCTGAAACAATTAAACTAGATTCTACTAGCATATAATGCTTAACACATTACAGCAATAAAGATGGTAATCCATTGTCTTCTATACCTTCTATACCGCCAAGATGGTAAAGCCAATTTGGTTGCAATAGTGTCATGATAGAATATTACCATCCAAAATAAAATAAAACCAGCAATTAACAGTAATGGTTGATGAATATTTTTACTGTTTCACTGAAAAGGGGACAAAATGTTAAAAGTCCACAGTACTGCAGGTGAACAATCACCATGTAAACTTCTCCATCTGATGCTTTAATGTTTCACTTGGTATGAAGAGACTGAAGCTGAATGGCTCTTGCTCCAATTTTCTATTACACTTAACATTTGCCATTATCTTTCATTGCCAGAACAGTTTTCATGGGTTAGAGGGCAATATCTTGAACTGGAAATATATGTGCAGTGTGTATGCTTATGTGTCTATAAATCCGCACGCACACACACACACACACACAAACACACACACATACACACACACACACACACACATCCAATAGGAAGGAGAAAGTGTAACCAAAGAAAAATACACTTGGGGCAAAAACCACCGACAGTAAAACCACTTACTTAAAAGTAGTTTAGATAAAAGCTTCAAAACCCCAAAGTAATTTCTAGCAAGAACTTCAAGTACTATACATCAGAAAGTGTAAAACTGTTCCAAACAAAAGCTCTTATGCCTTCCAAAATGGGAACTACAAAAATCTGTGTCCACAAAATATATGCAATAGTGCAAGACATTTCCTCAAACATGGAAGACCTCATTCAAAGGGGAAAAAAAGACGAACTTTACCCATGTTGCCCAGTTGACAAAAAACAAGTTTCCTAACTAGCAAACAGTCACATAATTCAGAACCCATTTGCTACTGTGTCAAGTGCATATTTTGTTTCTACTAAGACAGAATGGAGAAGTCTTCCATGTTAACAAGCAGCTTTAAGTGGTTACTTGTTTAGTCCACTTCTTGCCAGAAACATCAGGACCTGGTATGTGCTGATTGCTCCAAGCATAAAACTGGATAACCTTTGCCATACTTATGGTTTACTGGAACTTGCTATAAAGACAAACAATCCAGTAGCCACAAATTTTGCTCACATAATTGTTTAAAGATTCATGTAAAAATAAAAAGATGTCGTCCCAGACTTAAATTCAGGAGCCATTCGGGTGCTGACATCAGTTCAAGAATTGTGCAAAATGAGTGACAGTTCCCTGCCCCCCCTACAGAAAATGCGAACACTTAAGAGCTGCTGTTCTATCTGAAAATTGCAGTATCCTCCCTTTAGGTCTACTTGCCATTTTTGGAATCTGACTGCTTTTAAAATGTCACTAAAATGTACATCAAGTTGTATGACTTTTCCAAGCATTAAAGTGATACATTTTACCTTTCACATTGGAACTAAG